CTAACTAGGAACAGCAGAGAATAGTGATCGGTAGAAAATAGTCAACTGGGGTGTAGATTAATGGACAACATTGTATAAAGACTTTTAGGCATAGTCAGATGCACTAAATGAGCATAAACTGCATTAGTTCTTAACTCTTCGAGTCCCAAGGAACGCGCCATCCGTTCAAAGGTTCCTACCTAGAAGCCCAATAAATGCAAGATGTGCTGATTTTACGTCTTTCTTGATTACCCCTTGGGCCTTTGATGTTGGACTCATGAGACTCAAAGAGTTAACACGGGACAATACAAGGGTAGTGTGTTACAAAAGTCAGAAGACAGTGTCCAGTAACAGTCAAGACATGTCGGTGTTCATCACTTGCCACAAAGAAAAAATCGAGTCCGTGCCAACAGCAGAAGAGATAACAGCAACAGCGCAGGAGCCAGCATCAGGACCAAGCAAAAGGAATTAATTCATTGTATTGTTTACATGCTTTCTTTTTTCTTGTTTCAAGTTCTTTGGATGTGATATTATAATTGTTATTCTATTTAAGTAAAATAGATCATTTTTGTTTGATTATTACATTTAATTGTAGCAGTTGATATATAAAACTAAACTTTCAATTACTTCTTTAAAAAGGGTTATAAAAGATTAAATACTTGAATTATCTTTAAATTAGAAAAATTTAGACATTTTTGAAATTATAATTTAAATTAAAGTAAACACATTGTAAAAATTTTAAACCTGGCAGAATACATAAATCTGGGGAAACAGGGTTATCAGAAGAGGAATTGAAAAAGTTCTGTGAAGGAAGGGAACAGGTCAAAGAATGAGAACGCGAGCAGCAATCAGAGATAAGCAATTACAGTAAGAAGCAGAACTGAGAGAAGCAAATTACAGCAAAAAGCAGAACTGAGAGTTGAGCAATTACAGCAAGAAGCAGCATTCAGAGACAAGCCATTAGAGCATGAAGCCAAGTTAAAACAACAGCAGTTAGACCATGAGAAACAAATCAAAGAACAGGAGTTGAAGCTTGAACATGAGCGGTTGGCCGCACAAATTAATGCAGACAGAGAAAAGGTCGAAGCACAGATAAGGACAAAAGAAATGGATAATGAATCCAAGGAAGAACTGGCAGCCCAAAGGGAAAAAACTAAAGAAGAAGAACATAAATTTACAAAGTACAAAGGACTAAGAAAGAAATATTGTGAAAAGAATGACATTGGATCGTGGATTTCATAATTTTTACTTCAAGTTCGGTTTCACAAAATACCAAAAGAAGATTGGGCAATACTGTTCCAAAGACATCTTGGAGGGGAACCGTTGAAAATTTTAGAAACAGTGCCAGAACATTTACGACTTGATTTCGAGTATATTAAAAACCAAATAATGAGGCATTATGACCTAGAAGAGGCAGGATACATATTGCAATTCATTAACTTAAAACCAAAATCAACTCAAACGTTTGTTGACAATATGTCCGAAGTTCAGAGAACTTTTCAGAAATGGGTGGATTCGGCTAAAATTACCAACAACTATGATCTGTTATTTGATTTACTATTAAGAGGTAAATTGTTAGAATCTTTACCAAAATCTATTACCACATTTCTGAAAGAACACAAACCGACTTCCTCAGCACAACTTGAACAGCTAGGAGAAAATTACTATGCAGCACATCGTGACATCTTTCTCATACCACAAAACACGGACATATATCTAGCCAGGAAAAAATTTAATGGAGGAAGAAAAGTAAGAAAAATAGAATGTAATGTGTGCAATAAAAGACATGGCAATGACACATTATGTTCCCTGTGTGGGTTCCAGGGCCCTATTATAGGGAAAACAAGAATAGACCCACTGCCTACCCAAAAGCATGTCGTAAGAGTCGACTAATTGGGAGCTTCCTTCGAAGTCGGAGTGCATCTGCCTGAGAGGCAAAGAACCAGCAGTCTGCACACAAATGAGTCAGATCTGTAAAACGGATGCACACGCAACACTCAGGTTTTGGAACAGGGCTGATGTTCAGAAGTGGACGTACAACCAGAACTTTCTGCCAGAGTTTACAGCTGGTGACCGCGAAGAAGAAGAAGACACATTATGTGAAGCCAATGAAAGATATGAACAAGAGGTCAGAAAGAAAATTGAAACTAGGAGAAAAAAGGTAACAAGATAAGATAATACATATAAATGCTGGGCTGTGGGTTCTATGGGCACACGCCTCAATTTTGCAAATATAACAAAGAATTCAAAGCAGCAGCAGTATGTGAAAAGACAAGAGTGAGTGAGTCACGGGTGAATGCAAGATCTGGGGGATTGAGAATGGTGATTCGGTGACTGGGCCCCAGATTGGAAGGATGTGAAGCTGAATCTGTGAAGCTGAATCCAGAGTGAGAAGTGCACACGTGGATCTGAATTAGAGTCGAGTGAATGTTAGTGCTGAACGAGAAGAGATGCTGCGCTACTGAATGATGGTTGAGGCCAGTGGGAGTGTTTGACAGTATTTTGTTGCGCCAGCCGTGTACATGCCAGTGTCCATCGCCTGAAGCATGGCTAGAGACTCAATACGTGAGCAAGGCGAGATTGCCCGAATGGCATAAGTTAGTTCATCTGTTGATTTGTGTTGCTTGTGTTACCACCAACCCTGAGATCCCTTGACAGCTCTGTTAATGGTCATTTGAGACATTATCCATGCAGCATGATGAGGACATGCTGCAGGAGTCTTGCTTGAGGCTCCATAAACTTAGAACTGTGAAGGACTGGTGCCCGAGTGACATACGGAATATCTCCTTATACACATCATGTTGGACTTAACTTTACCTCATGCCTGTACAGGAATCACCGTGCAATGGTTATTCCATCAAATCCAGGCAACTTTCTAATTTTTAGCTTTGATATTGCTAACTCTTATTCGTTAAACATGAGTGGTGGTGTTTCCTTATCACAGGAATTATATCGTTGTGTCATCAGTGTTGTCCTTTCTCTCGAACCTCTCACTGTTTCTGTGGACTGACATCAATGTTGCTGTCTTTAGCAAATAAATCTGCAAAGCGATCAGCCATCTGTTTTATTGTTAGAGTGACTCCTTCTGAATATATTGTAGTATTTGCCTTTCTCCCTGTCTCTTGTCATTCGTTTGTTTTACCAGCTTACACATGTTCCTTGTGTCTCTTTCAAAGTTTGTTTCTTTCTTGCCAACATACCCTTCTGGCCTGCAGCTTGGCTCTTTGTAATTTGGCCTTTGCATGTTGGTATTTGTTGAACAGCTCATGACAAGGTTTGATTTTGGTTTTCTTTCTTTCTTTCAGTTTCCATATCACTGTGTAACTGTTCAAAGTCACAATTCCAGAATGGTTTATATTGCTTATGTGCGCCTCTTGGTATTGTTTCCAGGGCTGCCTGCAATACACATTTGCTGAACTCTTCTACTACTTTGTCTGCTTTGTTTTCTGTTTTTATATTGTTAACCAAAACACTTGTAAGGTGCTGATACAATTTCCAGTCTGCCTTCTTGTAATTCCGTCTTGGTAGAGTGCTGCTCTTTCTTACAGACTGGTTTTCTATTCTTAGAAAGACTGGGTGGTGATCACTGCCTCCTAGTTGTTTCCCAACAGTTCTGGTAATATCCCATTCCATGTCTGGTGAATGAAAGACTATGTCTGGCATAGAAGTGGTATGCCATGCTCTTGAGTAGAGGGTTGGTGGGTTGGTTGGCTTATTTATGAGGATGAATCTGTTTACATCCTGCCAGTCCTCCAGTTTCTCTCCCCTCTGATCCATGTGATCATAGCCCCAGCTTTCTAACTGTTGAAATATACACACAAAATCATTCTTTTATTTACTACTACTGTATCCAGTGCCTGAAGGCAGTCACTCGGACAGTAACAGTTGATTGGTTGAAATCTGTGTTTTCTGTCTTGAGCTTAAGAATCTGGTATTCTGCCCCTTCCATGTATGTTTCTCTCTGGCATGCAAATATGTTATCTTTGACTAGGGTTAGTACTCAACCCTTCCTTCTGTCTTTTCTGTCACAGCGGTAACACTGGTAGCCTCTGATCTTAAAAGCTATGTATGTCTTGTTTGAGGTAGGTCTCCTGAAGGCAGAAAACATGTATCTGTTCTTTATTCAAAGTGTTTTCTAGTTCTAATTTTTTACTTTTACTCCCTCCCTGTTCCAGTGCATGATTTTGAGACAAGATCTATTTGCAGATATATATATTTCATATAGTGTTTGTGCCTGGCATCCTGATTTGTATAGTGCACCTCCTGGCTGGTTGCATCCGACTTCAGCAACTAATTTTAATTTATTTTGGTAAGCTGGATCGACGTACAGGCATTTGGAGCTGAACTATCCAACCTGACATGTGTGTGAGCTTGTAAATAGGACTTTGGCATCATAAGCATCATTCTCGCATCAACGTTTTTAACTAACGATGACATAGCATTGTTGCTTCGTTGACCATTACGATGCGTCCGGTGCAGTCCAAAGACCTTGACTATGAACTTACATCAAAAAGAAGGCAGTCAGAAACACACAGTCCTGATGCAGCTCAGAAACACTTCTGCAATTTTCTGGTAGTCATTATTTCATCAGAAATTTAGGTTATATACATGGTAGACAGCTAAGTATAGTTTTTTTTTTTTTTTATATCGAGGTGAAAATTCCAGCCACCATTTTGTTGCGTCCTGTGCGCAATATTTATGTTCACGTCAAAGTTGTGACTTCTTACTGTTACCAAATATTATTGTATCGATGCTATAATATTAATAATATATGTGTATGCTACTGGCTTTGCTGAGTCTGCAGTCTGTGTTATTTTTTTACAACGAACAGTGATGAATATTTTGTGTAATTTTTGTTGTTGGCATAAGTATAGGAACAGAGCAGCTATGGGTGGCCCATTTGCTATGAGGTTGAAACTATGATTACTTGATTACCATAACATTTATTACTACCAATTCACTTCATGTACACAAACTTCAAAACATGGATAGTTAACAAATTAATAAATAAGCAACCTTACCTGTGTTTTTTGTTCTGAAATGGAAGACAGAAACTCTAGACCCTGTGCTTCCTGCATCAATAACAACAGAATAAGTATCTTGTGCAGGCATCTCACTAAGAATTGTATTTACACCACCCAACAAAATGACAGCAACAAAAACTGTGGTAAAAGCAAAAAGTATGGCTTTCACATTTATTGTTGACTCTACATCAAATGTAGCTGGAAATGAATTGTCAGCCAAAGATTCTGTCATTTCAACCACCTCTGCAGATATAAAAGAAAACTATGTCATTTAATAAATACAGTGATCACATACTGAAATCTAAATATATATATTGAGATCTGCCAGGGAAATAGAGTGGTCAAAGATAAATAACCTATAATGTAATGATGACAGCATCTTGATAACAACAGTTTAGAAAGAACTAAGGAAAATGATATGAAAGTGGGATAAAAAATCTGTTTTAGCTTGAATTAATGAATGACAGAGGTAATGTTAATATCAAAGCAATTGATCATTGCTAAATGTACAGTTAAGTCAATGGCTCTAATTTAGAACAAGTCCAGAATTTAAACTATCTAAGCACAAGGATAATAACAAATGGACAATGTATCTCAGGGATCAAGACCAGAATAGAACAAGCAAAAACCGCTTTTAAAAAAAAAATAAAGATCTTATGCAATAAATTCATGTCTTTAGAGGTTAGAAGTAATAAATTATTGCATACTACTTTTACCGATTTAAGCGTAAGGCTATGAATCTTGAACAATCAGTAAACAAACTAACAATGAGGCCTCAGAGAGGTGGTTTTGCAGTAAAATAATTAAAATACATTCATTGGACAGTCAAAATGAGTAATCTAAAGGTTCTCAAAGAGGCTAAGACATGAAAACAACTTATCACAGACATCAGAAATAAGTAGTTATAATTTATTTGATCACAGAATTAAAAAAGAAAACTGGATGTGACAAACTGTAAAGATTTGGGGAAAGAGAGATAAGGAAGATATCAAGAGAAGATTCTTGAGTCTTTAGCGATGGAAATGTGTATGCATGTGAGCATATAAGCTACTGGGGGGTTATAAAAAGTGGGAAAATACGACCATCCATGCAAGTCAGCAATAAACTAGATGATGACCTAATACTCATCTCAGAAGACAGACATAACAAAAGCTGCAAGTACATTAAACAAAGCAATATTAAAGTTACTATGAGTATATTCTGAATTCACAAAATATTATGGGAAAACTGTGTAACAGGTTTTTGTTAACAAATACTCATTTAAATAATTCAGAGACAAACAATCATTAGAGTTTACATAGACATATAATGAAGTATAAAACAAGAATTCTTTAAATTCAAAAATACAAATCAACCTCATCATCAAGTACTTTGCCAAATGGCATGGGTGATCATACCTCGTCACAATCTGTGAACTGCAACCGTGTGTATCAGTTCCTGTGTTGACACTCTCAATGCCATGACAAAAGGTTGTCAAGAATCTTCACATGCTATCTTCCTCTGTCTTTTTTTCCAGAGATCATCATACATTAAAGTTTCCTTCTTCTCATAATATGACCCCCAAAAATGATAACTGTCTCTTTCTAATGTTTGTGAAAAGTTGTCTTTGAGCCTTCACCTCTTTCAAAACTTCTGGGTTGCTCTTTTTGGCTGTGTAAAGTAATTCTAAAGGCACAAATAAAGTCTTTAATTACACTGCACACCTTACCAACAGAAGTCTGAGATTAACCATACGAACATCATGGAAGTCTAAGGTTAACAAGTGCGATCCTTTTGTTTATATAATGTGAGATTCATAATCAAGTGCCTTGCTGACTGGTGTGGACAATCATGCTTCTCCACATGCTTCCTCTTTTTGAGGAATATTGATTAGGCTGTGGTCCTCTTGGTTTACCGTCTGTAACAGAAGTCTGATTTAATTACTTATTTATTAGCCACTTTGGTGTTTCTAGTGATGTCACCCTCTCAGTAGCATTATTTTCTGTGTCAATCATCGTGTGCAGAGGGAGAATTATATTCTTTGACTGTCTGTGGATGTGGCATAGAGGATTCACTTATACAGTTGAACCTGACCTGTCACAGACAGGGGATAAAACATTTCTTTATGAATATGCTTGCTATCTGTAGGGTATATGAGCTACACATGGGTGTTTGTTTCATTAATGTTCCTAAAGGGGCTATGGACCAAACAGCATCATTCTCAGCTGAGAGTCCTGAAAGCAAGCAGTTATTGTGAAAACAGCAGACTGGCAGAAACAATTTAGGCAGTCTCCAATTATGGCCTGTCTAAAGGTTTACTTTCTGCATTTAAGTTATATAATATTCCTATTCATAAGAATTATTTTCCTCACAACATCATCACTCTCAAATGCACATAAAACTTATTGGCTGACTCATTATTATCATACCATCCAATGATTGGTTTTTGCAACATCTCAAATCAGTTCTCTTGATGTTCTCAAAATAAATTAATCTTGATATTTAACAATCTGTTTCCTACTTCCTTTTAAAATTTTATTCTATAAGCCATTTTTGGTTGTTTTCTTGGCTATCCAGGACTGTTTGGTATCAGTATAACTTAGACATTAGTCTATTTTCTTATGTGGATGTGACTGTCTGGATTTAAACCCACTCACTACACACAAGTTTACATTCATTTTGGATTGGCAACACACATGGAAATTAGGAGCATCCAGCTCACTAGAAATGTGATGTATTCTAATTGTTTAACTGAGGGAAAACAAGCAGCAATAAATAGACAGACTCAGCACTTGTTCCATAATTCAAAGATAGCAGACACTGATGAATGTAAATGGCAATTGTTCAGTGGCAGGCTAAGCATTTATTGCAGAAAAGAAAATACTGTTTTGGCCTATATTCGCTGCATCTGAAATAAACTCTATGGAATACAAGCTCTATCCCTTTTTTTCTCAGAAGCCAGTGAAGTGTTCTCATACTGATGGTTCAAGTTGCAACCTTTTTAAAATTGCCCTGTTTTGTCCAGATCCTCTGCTCACTCCCAGCTGAATCATTCTCTCCTGATATTTATCTTCTGTCTGCTTTGTTGCACTATTCACTTGATTCAAGACAGCCTCCACCATGTTCACTTTACCATAAAGTATTTTGTTTCCCAGACAGTCAGCAGTGGCTAATTTATTAGCCTGCTCATTACCCCACACATCCTAAAGTACTAGGCAAAAAATCTATGATATACTTCTTATTGAGTCTTATAAAGCAACACAAGTCCCTCTAAGCACAAGTCACCAGTTCCTATTTTTCTTAGCATGCTCTGCTAGTCAGTGATAATTACAAAATGTCAGGTTATACTACTATCCGATTACCAGAAAGCTGTCATTACATTCTAATGCCAGATGTTCTGAGGTTAAATGCAATGCTTTCTTGAACAATATTTGTGTTCTCCCTTGCAATAAAACAAACTCGGTACTCCTGTCAAATCCGGACGAAGACTAAAAAGCCTTGGACGACTTAGTCAGAGTTCTCTCCCTTGGCCGCACTGCGAACAGTGATCGGAAAAGCCAACGAAACAAAGAAGACAGTCACGTCGACATCAGGGCTGCCAATGCTTGGTTGTTTCCCCCAGATCTGGGTTTTTTTTCGACGCTGCAGGACAATTCTGGTTTTTTTTTTTGGCTGACACTCAGTAACTCAAAGATATGAATGAAAGACACCAGAATAAACCCTATAAAATATATTTATTGCCAACCAATGATTATGAGTTAACTGCAATCCGGGGTCAGTAAGCAACAGTGTGTTGATTGAGCTTGAAGCTGGCTGATCTTTTTCTTTAAATATTAATAAAATATGTTCACTGTTATGTCCGAATAAGCTGTAGGAGTGTAGGATACATTAACTTAAGAAAATATGGCCAATATGGGGTGAGTGTAATTCATTGTAATTGATTATCTAAATATAGTACTAAACATTCTTTCACTATCTGATGTTATATTGCAGAAATGTAGATTTTTTTTCTTACATAATTATTAAAAATGTGGCGTCTGGATAGCAAATTTAAAATGGATTTGATTATCATGATTATGAGATTACTGAAACCTTCACTTCAGTGAGTTTGAAACTCAGTTTCCGTTAAAAAAAAGAAGACACAAATCATCAGGTCAGGAAAGAATAAAAATTGAATTATAAACTAAATATTACTGATACCACAAAACAGTACTAATTACTGGTTTCTAGACAATCATCACACACCTGGTATAGTGTGACTGAAACGAAAATCCAGTGTCGGAATGTCTAAGGCTGACTCCGTTACGCTCTCTGTTTACTTTAATTATTATTATTGCTAACGTATACAAGTTAGTCGACATACTAAAAATTAGGAACGGTGACTCCGGTGTTTACAAATAAAGATTCAAGTGTTCAACGACAAAAAGTGATAGTTTTATATGTTAAACAATAATTTATGATTCATAATAAAAAATAATGCCACACAATGATGCTTGTGGTAAAAATGTTCAGATAATTATCTTGTATTCAATAACAAATTAAATATGTACACCCACATAGTTTTCTTTAAATTTAAAGTTAAAGATTAAGATCGTTTTTGCTTTTCACTTTTTCATGGGGGAAAAAGAATGCACATAACAGGTCAAGAAAACTAAAAAGCACTTCAGTTTAAAAGTATTTTTAAGTGGTTTCAATACATTCTAAACTATAAAAAAAAAAAACATGTGATGCAAACAATTCTTTTGACAAGAATTAACATTTTGTTATCTGTGTTTTTATTCCTATCCAATATTCAATGGTTGCATAGCAACAGCTGTCCTAATCATTTCTAACCCCATGTGTATTTGCGATCTTTCTTGAATACACGCATTTTCCAAACTCAACGAAAAGAGGATTATAAATCGTAGTGCAACTGAAATAAAATGCCGAAAAGGGGAAAGCATGGAATTAAAGGGTAACATATTACTATATACGACTGCATTTTATTCATAGTGAAAGTGAAATTTTATCGTGTCTTTTTTCTTCACATATATTCAGTTCACTGGTTGAGTTGTAGTTGTAGTTGTAAACTAAACTCCGGCGGAAAGTTCGCTCTCCGTTCTGGTTGAGTGTGGTTGCTCGTCCACTTCTAGACTCTAGTCCTAGTCCTATTCCAGAAACCTATATATTGCGTGCCCATCCGTTTTGCAGTTTTAGATCTTCTTTTAATCTCCCTAAATATATTATTACAATCTATATCATGATCTTCACTGTCTTTTTTTTTTTTTTTTTTTTTTTTTTTTGTAATTTAAATTCGCTCAGCGACCCGTAAAGTTTGGCTTCCACCTGTTTTTTCGGCTCTCCTCCGAACTTCTACTCCGGCGGCTAAACAAATACCCTAACAGGGCCTCAGTCCTATAAAAAATGCGGACGTCGGACTTCCAGTCAAGGAACAAATCGTGACAAAACTAGGATCGGCTCCGAAAAATGAAACAAATGCTGTAACAGGGTCTCAGCAATATGTTACTTACGGACCTGTTTCTGCTGTGGGCTCCAAGACTATACAGCATCCCAGTTAGTAAACTCTTATGTACTCAGACCCAGCTCCGACTTCTGCAGAAAAGCTAGTAAACTCTTATGACATTTTTTTGCTTCGCTCCTTTAACTTTGTTGACTTGTTAATAATATTAGGGATGCTAGTGACATTTTACATACTGGGTTTTTACTTATGAAACCATCACAACTGGATAGAGATTAAAATATCAACTCCAGTGATACCTCTGTGAAGCCTGTAAGTAAACTCTAAGCCCTTTTGATTTCCATAACTTTAACCTGTCTCTCATTTATGGGAAGTGTGGTCCTTTTTGTGTCTTTTTCAAACTACATTAAGTCAAGTGGGTAAGACCTGTTTAAAGTCTCCTTAAAATGTTCTACCCATCTTTTCCTTTGCTCAGCATCAGATGTGAGCATTGTGCTATCTTTGCTTTTTATTGGACCACCTTGTAGTTTTAATTTGTTGCAAACTACAGCAGGTAATAATTAATTAATCATAAGTAGAATGTTTAAATAAGAATTGACATCATAGCACTCGCGACACTCCCATAAAAACTCCATCCACATGTTCAGCAGCAAGCGTAGAATTCCGATGACACCAGTAACTGATTTTAAATCCGTCTTATTTTTCCTCCGAGAGTTGAGCGTCCGCAAAATCCCCTGGTAACTCCTCGCAGCACCCTTCTCCGCAAACCGTAATGATCTATTTGTGCCTCCTTACTGTTAATTCACTCCCAAAGGGCCCTCACAATATCTAGCTTGTCATAAATCATTTCACCACCAAGTGGTGCAGAGCTGACCAGTCTATCTGCCTGCTCATTTCCCAATACATGGACATCATTAAGAATAAGTATTGCCACTACCATCTCCTTTCTGTTCTGAAACCCCTCATAAATATCAAAAGCAAAAGTAGCTGCAGTTGACCATGAATCTTTCCATGGCCAGTAACTACCCAAACCTTTTGGCAGGAGCTCTTTCCTTTCCAAAAAACATCTGCAGATTAACAGCAATTATCTTCTCTAGCATCTTGCCAAAAGTATTTTGTGGGGTGATATTCCTGAAACCGCTGAGTCTGGAATTATCTTTGCCTGGTTTCAGAAGTGGGATTAGGTAGCTGTGTTCTTAATCCTGGGGCACTGAAGCTGTTCTATTGCTCTGGTTGAAGTGAAATTCCATCTTCCTCAAGTCTTCATCACTCATGCTCTTCATGTGGGCATATCTGATTCCATCTGGCCCTGGTGCAGTGTCCTTTGCTTTTTGCAATCTATGTTTATATTCTCCACCCCAATGATATCCTGAAAATAATTATTATTTATAGTATTAGACAGATTATCTCTAACTGAAATTCGAAGCTTCCTATCATTATGATCAGTTTGGGCTATAAAACACTTTTTAATGCTTCCCCTTTCTCTTTGTCTGTTGTAATTGGTATATCATTATCAGTGTAAATAATGCCTGTCTGTGACAGGCCAATTCTTCCTTTGCATCTGTCTGTGCAGTTTCCAAAACCTACCCAGTGATTTATCCCCTCGCTCTTTAAATGTTTCCATTAAGCCTTTTTTGTAACTGCTGTACACCGTTTAAACTCTTCTGCTTTGCCTTTTCTAACTCTTTCTAGCTTCTTTACATCCTCTTATAACCTGTAACATGCCTTTCGAACTTTTGTAATTGTTTAACTGCTGCTCGCTTTGCTCTGCATGTCTGTTCTACTTTTTGGGTCCACCATGGAGGCTGCACAAGAGCAGAGGTGGTAGTTCTGCTGCATACCTTCTGTCGAAGGCGTCTAATAAGTACTCGACCTCTCATACTTAAAAGTCTTGCACGTTCTTACAGCACTGATCTTGCTAGCTTAAGAAATCAAGACTGAGTATGGCATGTGGTCACTTCCATGGTCTCCTAGGGCACTCCATTTTGTGTCTAGCACTGCTGACTGGGTAACAAACACTAAATCAATAGCCGTGTCTGCATTACCAGGTCTCGTTGCCATTCTAGTTGGCCTACAATCATTTATACAGACTATGTCTGCATTCACCATAGTCTCTTTTAAAGCATTTCCTTGTCTACTTTCCCCAGTACTGTCCCATGCTCTGTTTCATGCATTGAAATTCCCATAAATGAGAAGCCTGTTACCAGGGATTTCCTCCAACTCTTTGAGCCAGTCCAAATGTTCCTTTGTTACAAGAGGGCCAACAGCATCGTAAACATTTACTAAATCCCACGCTGTGCCCCCATTATCTATCTGTATACTTTGAACCTCTAGTGTAATTATAGAGTAGAAGCAGGTCAAACATCCTTCTGGGGCAGATATGTTGGATGTGAAGTAAACCAACATGGTCTCTCTCTCTCTCTCTCTCTCTCTCTCTCTCTCTCTCTCTCTCTCTCTCTCTCTCTCTCTCTCTCTCTCTCTCACACACACACACACACACACACTTACACACACACACACACACACACACACACACACACACACAACTACACACACACAACTACACACACACAACTACACACACACAACTACACACACACAACTACACACACACACAACTACACACACACAACTACACACACACACACAACTACACACACACAACTACTACACACACAACTACACACACAACTACAACACACACAACTACACACACACAACTACACACACACAACTACACACACACAACTACACACACACACAACACACACACAACTACACACACACAACTACACACACACAACTACACACACACAACACACACACACAACTACACACACACAACTACACACACACAACTACACACACACAACTACACACACACAACTACACACACACAACTACACACACACAACTACACACACACAACTACACACACACAACTACACACACAACTACACACACACAACTACACACACACAACACACACACACAACTACACACACACAACTACACACACACAACTACACACACACAACTACACACACACAACTACACACACACAACTACACACACACAACTACACACACACAACTACACACACACAACTACACACACACACACAACTACACACACACACACAACTACACACACACACAACTACACACACAACAACTACACACACAACAACTACAACTACACAACTACAACACACAACTACACACACAACTACAACTACACACACACACACACACACACACACACACACACTTGCTGTAATGTGTTCCTTGTGAACCATACTGTATATATGTTAAAATTAACGTCAAATTAAAAACAAAAACACCTTAAATTGCTTGTCTCCCTAATTTAGAAAAATATTTACAAACTTACTTACAGTGAATTACACTGTGTGCTGCACACACAAAAATGTCTATATATTATTTATTTCCCACACACCAAAGCCAAGTTATGTCACAGCCTAGTATCTCTGTATGACTTCTGGTACTTGTTATGATATGATTTTTCACATAAAGAGTAGGGGAAAATATATTCTTAATAAGGGTCAGTACTCCGTTACTTCACGGTCTCAATGAGTCCAGTGCACAGCTGATTAAAATAGTATCTAATCAACATCTGGTTTGGAATTAATTAACAACTCTAAAAATAATAATAGATAAGTCAAATTTTCAAAATTATTTTAAAAAAAATGATATTACCATTGTAATGTTTCATTTGGAAACTGAAGTCCAATGGTACCTCATTTGCGCCTGTTTTCTAAACCAAGATATTAACTGTTAAGCATGTTTGAGAGCTGCATCTTCGTAGAAAAATATGGATGTGAGTCATGGACTACAACGCAGTCATAAAAAAAGAATGTAGAAACTTTTGAGCTAAAATGCTATAGAAAGATTCTCAGATTACCCTGGACCTTGAAGAAAAAGAAATAGTAACATCTGAAAAGATATAAACATCAAGGAAGATTGGCTAGTAAAAAGCATCTTTACTTGGAAACTGAAATATTTTGGCCATATAAAATGCCACAGTGGATTGGAAAGGTTAATAGTGACATACCAGGAAAGAGGGGCAGAAGCTGACAACCACAAAGGTGAGAACAGGGTATAAGTGACACTGGGTAGGAAAGTGCACAAGGTGAGAGAGCTGGCGAGAGGCCAAATTTCTTTCATGTAGACTGTGTTGAGAACGACATTCTGCAAGAGGCCTGCTATATGATGATTAGTGCTAAAAAAAAAGGAAAGTTAAAATACAGTACTGCAGTCAATTATGTCAGTGAATAGTTAAATCCAACAAACAAGAGCTTAGACAGGGTAACATCCTCATAGCATGGGTGATAACATCTAGTCTATAGGCTAAGTCTCCTACTTAATAACAAATAGGGGTTCAACAGTCTATCGATCAAGAGTCCTAATATATGGCAGCATCCTTTTTGATGACACAAAATGGCTAAAAACTCAGGAATTCACCAATGAATGCTTTCTCAGTGTTTCAATGAGCATGCTACAGAAGATCGAGACAGGGCATATATAGAAACAGTGGCTCCATCTTATACAGCACACAGCGTTTTGCAAAATCATTTTAATCTGTATCCCAGGGTATGCTGATGTAAAAGGCAATGAGAGAGCAGATACCCTGGCTGGCAGTGCGACTATCTGGAATGGGGCATCTATGGACAGGAGAGACATCTTCAATGCCATACAGGAGACTAAACACTGTGAGGCTTTCAGTTTCATGGAAAATGACTTTTCACTGACTAGACTGCACACCAATTGGAGCAGAAGACAAGAAAACCATGCGGGAGCCACCAGTTGTTACATCAGTGAGAACAGAGTGGAAGTTGTTAGCCTAAAAACCACCTGAAGACATACTCAGGAGGAGATCGGAGCATTTATGGTCATGTCCGATGTGCAATAAAGATGATCTTTAAATAAACAATGAACTCTAATATATCCAGTTTGTATCTCTTTATTTCCTCTGCTGCCTGTTCTGAGTTTGTTCTTCATGCCTTTATTCTTTTTCTTTTCTCTAATCCATGTTCTGCATTTCCTCGTCAGGTTTTGAAGAGACATCTGGTGTGAGCTTTGGAGCCATAGTTCTTACATTATAAAAACCAATTCTAGAGCCTGTTTTTAGCCAAGTAGTGTGCATGTTGGGTCACTGACTTCTCAGAGCAGCTTCAACAACACTCTGTGCACTGCAACCAGTTGACTAGTTATTTGTTGAAATAGCTTCTTTCTCTGCTAGTTTTTTTTTAAATATATGTTTGTGGGATGGGGAAGCTGGTCTCATGCCCAGCTTTCCTTCTCTCTTATCCTGGCTTGAAACTAACATTGGCAGAGATCTGTTGTCTTAGGATTAGTTTATTTAAGTATTATTTTATTTACAGGAAAAGGGGGTACAAGCCTGCAAAAGATAACATGGAATCTGCACTGAAACTTGCAGCAGCCAGTTCTAAAATATGGGAAACAAAACTGGACATTGCAAGCAAGTCAAAACAGGAGTTCAGGTTTGTAAATTTTGTGTTTAAAAATGTTTCTATGTTTAAATTTTGAACAAATAAGACAAACAGACTGCATAATTTATTGCCTGCTATATTGTGTTTACTGTAAAAACATTGACTCTCTTGAAAGAAGCACCTCTCAAGATTGGACTAGTTACCAATAAAGACAAAACATAATACATAATAATTACAATACAGGGAAAGGATTTAACCTCTGGCCACATACAAGTCAATAATATGCAAATCAAACGAACGGAAACATAAAAGTATTTCAGTGCAAACTTCAACTGCTCCAATATGCTTAGAAAAGAAATACAATCTAGAATACAATCTGGAAATAAAGTATACTATGCCGTGCAACATCTGCTAAAGTCAAAGTCTCTATCTTGCAACACCTAGATCAAAATATATAAAATGTTGATAAGACCAGTCATTTTATATGGCTCTGAAACTTGGAGCACAGCTAAAAGAGATGAAGGCTTATTAAAGGTTTTCGAAAACAAAGTATTATGATGAATCTTTGGACCTATCAAAGATGTAAACAGCAGGGAATAGAGAGTGAGAAGCAGCAATGAAATTCATGATCTGTTTAAATCACCATTGATCATTGGCATTATGAGAGCTAATAGGTTGAAATGGCTGGGGCATATTGAGAGAATGTCAGATGACAGAGAGGTAAAAAACTGTATACACAAGGGAGATAAATTGTCATAGACCACGAGGCAGACCTAGAAGATGATGAAGAGATAATGTGCATAGAAATCTGCAAACACTTGGGGTTATCAACTGGATATCTGCAGCAATAAACTTCAAGGGCTCGGAATGCTGAAGAAGAAGAAGAAGAAGAAGAAGAAGAAGAAGAAAAAGAAAAAGACTTACTGTGTTTTATCTTGTCAGGTCCATGCTACAGTTTTAAACAAGATGAAGCAAAGCAACACATTCTTTTAATTAAAATAAAGACACACACATTTAATAATTGGTCATCCCCTTGTTATTTTAAAGCCCCACCCTGGCTCTTGTCAGGGCCACAATATAGCCAGGTTATAAATATGGCCTAATGGCTGAACACGGTTTCCGGGACCACTTTACGGGTGATCCTCATCCGCATGGTGGCACTTTTTGTCATCAGGTGTTTATCGCTTGTGTGATGTCCTAGTCAGCGATAAACAATGTGGATTTGTAGAAGGAAAAGGTACAAACAATGCCATATGCATCCTAAGGACATTGTCAGAAAGAGCTATAGAAGTAAAGACTGATTTGTACTTATGCTTCATAGACTACAAAAGCATTTGACTGTGTGAAGCATGAAGAAGTAATCAAACTGTTAGAAAAATTAAACATTGATGGGAAAGATCTACGAATAATAAAGAATATGTATTGGCAGCAAACAGCAGCTGTAAGAATTAACAACTGTTTAGGTACATTTCTTCTTCTTCTTCTTCTTCTTGTTCACCGGCTGTGAATTCCGGCGGTAAGTCACGGTTGTTCGTCCAAAATGGACTTTTGGCTTTTACCTTGACCTGAGTTTTGCGTGTACATCCGTTTTACTGGCTTATTTGTTTGCAGTACTCGTTCCCCGCCTCTCAGGCAGATGTACTCCGACTTCGGAGGAAAGGTACATTTCAAAGCATAAAGGGGGAGCGTATGACAAGGATGTGATTTGTTTTCAATATACAGTGAATATATAATGAGATCTTTAATTGATATGCCTGGAATTGTGGTTGGTGGGCACAATATAAACAATTTACGCTATGCTGATTACACAGTCTTGATAGCAACAAGTCAGAAAGAACTGCAGGAAATGATGGACATTGTGGTGTTAGAAAGTAGAAGAATGGGCCTCAGTTTGAATTGGGAAGACAGAAGTAATGGTGGTATCAAAGAAACGATTTTATTCCTAAATGTGTGATAAAAGTCGATGGTGTTTTTTTAGGACAAGTACAGAAATTTATGTACCTGGGCACATGGATAACATCAGATGGAAGATGCATAACTGAGATAAGAAACAAAATAGGACGGACAAAAACTGCATTTTATAAAATGAAAAACATCTTGTGCAATATATCCTTGTCATTGAGAGTTAGAAAAAGAATTCTCGCTTGCTACATACATCCAGTTTTAACATATGGCTGTGAATCCTGGACAATCAGTAGGCAGGCCAAACAATTTCTAGAGGCCTCAGAGATGTGGTTTTACAGAAGAATGCTTAGAATACCTTGGACAGCCAAAAAGAGCAACAAAGAGGTTTTAAAAGAGGCGGGAGCCCAAAGACAACTTATCACAGACATCAGAAGGAGACAGTCATCATTTTTCGGCCATGTTATGAGAAGAGGGAAAATAGAACATGTTGTGACCACTGGAAAGATCTATGGAAGGAGGGATAGAGGAAGACAACGAGAGAAGATTCTTGACAGTTTTGTTGCATGGCATGGAGATGTGTCGGCACACGAACTGATACATACTGCAGGAGATCGCAGATTATGGAGAGGCATGATCGCCCGTGCCAGTCGGCAAGGAACAATGATGATGAGGGTGTCCTAGTAGGGTAAAATGTACTACTGCTACACATTTAACGTGCACTGTTACTAGGGAAAATGCAAGCTTATAATATGTAATTTTGTCTGCATAGCACTGTCTGGCATATGTACTGCTGCAAACAAGCAAACGTTGACTGTTCATTTTTTTAATTCTATCACCTGGTAGCACTAAAAAAAGGCCAAATATAGGATGTATTACATTCTGTGCAGTCTTCTCTCGCCTAAACTTTCGTACCGCTTTTCATTTACAGACCACCAACAATCAGTTGTTGAATTATTTACTTTTATTTTAAACTTTACCTAAGTATTCAGACTTAACTGAACAGATAAACCAAAGACTAGTTTGAACCCAGAAATGTATGATAAATACAAGGGAAATAAATCACTACAGTTTAATAACTCATTCTTGGAAATGTAATAACAGATGATGACAGAAGTGAAACAGAAATAGAAGAGAGACTTACTGTTTTCAGTAAGATGTGAAAATCATTGATGGCTGGAGAGAAAAATAACATGTAAAAAAACAAGAATTGTCAAATGTTATGTATATTCAACCCTGCTGTATGGTGCAGAAACTTGGACAATGAACAAGCAACTAGAAAATTGAATTGAGTCTCTGGAAATGTAGATATATAAAAGAATAGGTCGTATTTCATGGAAACAAAACAATAAGATAGGTAGTATTTCATTGAAACAAAAAAACAATCAGAGCAGGCAGTATTTCATGAAAACAGTAACAATCAAATGCAGAGGTTCAAGATAGACTGTGAATGAAAATAGAATTACTGGGGGGAGGGACGAGACATTTGAAATATTTCAGAAACATTAAAAGCATAACACTAATTAAAAAACAATACTGGGGGAGGGGGGGAAGATAAAGGGCAATAGAGAGCAAGTACAAGTAAGAGGACAACATCAAGAGATGGACAAACAGCAGTCTGAAAGAGTGTACATACAAGATGAGAGACAGAGGTGTTGCACCTCCAGTGCAGCCAGCTTTCCCTTTTGAGATGGCAACTGATTGATTTATTATGAAATGCATGTTCTTTATTTGTTCCATTTGTTCTTATATCAAGGATTTATACAATGACTTATATACAATATAAAACATATCATTTAATCTGACACTTTTAGAGTTCAAAATTTTGCTCAAGAAAATTAAGGAGTAATTTTACAGATTTTAGAAGCGTAAGTTTTTTTTAACTGTTCCATCAAAACACTGATTTTGATTATACACGATAGATTAAACAAAAAATAACTTAAAGCAAAGTCAGCCCACAAGTCAATGATAAAACAAATTGCATTTGATCCAATCTGTAGGACAAAAAAGGGCATTTTTGGCATTAGGATATGAATATGGAAACACAGGTATTTAGCCTTACAACAGAGCGTGCTTCATAGACTATATCAAAGCATTTGACAGTTACAAATAAGAGAACAGTAAAAAGTAATGCAGGTCAGCAGAATTCCTAGTCCACTACGAATGTGTCGAACAGTACTTATCTGAAGCAAGCCATGAATTTAAGTATCTAGGAAGTATCCCCACTTGGATACACAATGAGTAGTAGGAAGTGTGTGGTTTTGAATCCTAATGCTGCTCACCCACCTGAGAAACTAGACTAATATCTGAGCTTTGTTGATCCCAGACACAGTCCTAGATAACCACACACAAAAACAGCAAGAGTGGCTCATACAATAACATGAAAGCACGTCTACTTTATATATATATATATATATATATATATATATATATATATATATATATATATATATATATATATATATATATATATATATATATATATATATATATATATATATATCCTGTCGATATACAGGGCGATCTCATGTCTATCACGCCCTCGTCGATAAATCAAAATATCATTAGCAAATGACAATGTCCTTCCCTTTCCATTCAACTGCTGATCAGTGGTCATCACCGTATAAACGTTGAATAAGACTGGTGATAGCTGTGATCCCTGTGGCAAGCCTGGACATATCGTTTGCGGTTCTGAGGACCAGCTACCACAATCTTTCTCTGGAACAGGACCGCAGCAATCCAACGGATCAGAATAGGATTTACTTCTAGTTTAAGCAGTAATTGCATTAAATAATCATATGGTACTTTATTGTAGGCATCTTCTAAGTCCAACACTGCCGCACATGTCTCTTCTTTAATCTGAAATCCCTAGTACACATCGTAGGCGAAAACTGCAGCATTGAACCATGTCTCTTTATTCAACCTGTACCCTCCAAGTGTTGATGGGAACTTATCAAGTTGTTCCAAGTAGGTGGTCAATCTTTGTGCAACCATTTTTTCCAAAAGTTTGCCAACAGTATTCTGCATCGAGATGATTCTGTAGCCACACATCTTTGATTGGTCTTTATTCGGCATTGGTAGTGGGAACAAATAACTATGGAGCCATTCCTCTTGTATCTGGCCACTCTGGATGCTGATATTGAATTCGTCTTTTTTCTTGGGGAGCACACAGAGTCCAAGTTTCACTGTCGTAAGGGAGCATGCTTAGGATGCAAGCTTCATAAACTTTAATTGTTCTATCCTATCCTATTAGCTGTTTTGTTCAACCATGCTCTTATTGTGAATTTGGAAAGCATTGCCAGTATAATTACAGTCTAAGTTTTTTCTGGTGTTCTAATGTATTTTATTATAGTTATGTAGATAATCAAGTAAAAAGTACTCCTGTGTGATATGATTACATCATATAGTTAAACATTCTAGCTATGGTTTGTCTGATTACTTTTAAATATATGTTTCTGTTTAGGGAATGTGCCACAAAGCTGATCATTGAAAATGATGTCCTTCATGCACAGATGTTTCAGAATGAACGAGAAACAATTGACGTCATCACATACTTGAAAAAACAAGATGAAGATAAAGATGATCAGGTAATTTACAAATCTTATTTTACAAAAGTTTGAAGTTATTGATTAAGGCATTTATCTATAAACTTATTTTTAACAACGTGAAATGCATTACACATTTTTATTGATGTTTTCCTCTGTACACATGAATATATATATATACATACTACTCTAATGGGTGATACTTTATGATAATGCATTGTACTTTGTTTATTGTTTAGACAGTACCTTTAACTGACATTACATTTCACAGACTATTCTGTGTGTATGTATGCTTTATTTATATTATAAATCCATAGATCTTACAGTCTATTCCTCCATTTTTTTGATCTTGTGGATAGAATCCAGTCCAACAACTTTTTTGCTTCACTTATCAATGTTCATTTAAAAGTTTCTTGTGGTCATCTTTGTTTTCTTAAATCTATTTGTTTTTTATTACAGTACCTGTCCACTTCTCTTCATTATGTACCCAGTATGTCACCATTGTCTTTGTTTTATAACTGTTGGTTGATACAACTGATTGTCTAGTTGCTTCTCTTATTTCATCTTTCTTGAATTCATTCCATTTAACATTCATGAGTGTCCTCAGGTATTTGTTTTTGAATGTATTTAACTTGTATTCTTTGTCTTTAGTGATCTCCTACTTTCACTGGCATATGTTACAGCTAAAACAACATTTAAATTAAAAATATTTAACTTGGTTTTATATCTATATGTGGGTGTAAAGAGAGCAATGGAAAAGGAAGACGTCAACACAATAAATGGCAATGGAGAAAGATTAGCAGAGTTATGATTGTAGTCAGACCTAATAATTGGAGGTACAATTTTATACACAAGAAAATGTATAAACTAACTTGGCATTCACCACATGAGGTGACCAAGAAACAGATTAACCACCTCTGTATCAACAGACTTGATGTTTTTGATGAGTTCCAGAATAGACAGGAGATGGTACTGGCAGCACTTGATCTTGAGGATGCCTACAGTCAGTAGAGCCAGATGTGATATTTTGATATCTGCACTCATGGAGAAAGGAGTTTGTCTCTGGCAGGTGAACTGGATAGCAGCTGTCCTGCATTCATCTATGGTTGCCCTTGGTCTGGCTAAATAGTGATACACATGTGATATGCCCTGGGATTACCCCAGGATTCTGCAATTTCACCAGTGCTTTTCAATGTGTATACAAGCAAGATTGCAGAACTTGAAGCACCAGACATTGGAAGGATATTGGGTACATTCCAAACAGTTCACCACAGATGACGTCAAGGGACAGTCCAATATTTTCGAGGGTGGTAAGAGTGGGCTTTTCCGCTGTCTATGTGTCTTCCAAGGCGTTGCCAAGGTTTTGACGCATTTCTTGGATCTCTGTAGTGACTTGCTTTGCAGTGTCATTTCTTCAGCAATGACCATGAATGTCCTCAAATTAACAGCATCTGTGCCTGCTGCAGTGATCAGCTGAGAGAACACCACTGTTGAAATTGATGAAAGTTTGTTTGCAAGGCGGAAAAATCATGTTGAACAAGTGTTTTCACAACAGTGGGTTTTTGGTGGTGTCTGTCATGAATCTTTTGAATGCTTTGTGTCCTGTGTTTCAGACAGAAAAGCAGAGACGCATCTGCCAGTCATAAGCAAAAACATAAAACCTTGCAGTAGTCTCCGACCTGTGGCATGCGTACAGTGGAATTGAGAATACTGCTGGATTGACGCATCTCACCGTGTGTAAAGGAGAGAAATAAGCATCAGAATGGCACACACAGACACTTATTAGAGTATCACATGTGTGAGTTTCTGTGGCTTAGACGCGCTCAACATGCGGGTCACTGCGAGGTTTGTGACCATTCTGGCCGACATTGTTGCATTCTGGCCACCAGAACAAAAGTCTGTCGTCTATGCTGCTGCGGCTGCAACATCAGGTGCTTCATTCCAACTTCTCTCCAGATCTACTAACATGTAAAATTGTTTTGATTGTCAATTAGTGCGTGAACCCAGCAGTATACATCTAGAATGATTTACCCTTTCTAGGGCCACCCCCACAGAACCCCAATTGGCAATTGCACACAGAATTTTAGTTACCCACAAACACATTGCAGAACAGAAAAAAAAAATATTGATCTTAAAATTGATCCTTCACCAAAATCTCTGCTGCCTTGAGATCCTACCCCTTAAAATGCGTTGTTACCCAAAATAGTGTCTCTTGAAGTAGTCCAGTTTTCTTGGCCTGACATTGCCAGCCAGACTTCTCTTCCTTCGTCTGCACTCTGGACTGTCCTCTAGACCAGTCTCTTGCAAGTGCTGATCCGCTGACATTGCCACCTCAACTGTTTGAGTTCTCAACTGTCCACTGCTCTCTCACTGAACTCATTCCCAGTATATACACTTGCCTGCCCCTTGTGAGCTGGCCCCTGCACACGAGACACACACTGTCATGCACCCCATAAAATTCCGTGCACAGCTGCTATCCACCTACTACTTATAATAAATAGCCCACACTGGAATAATAACTTCATGAATCAACTGGTCCATCCCACCCTAAGTCAACTCCCACTTGCCACAGTATTGACTCAAGCCGACTGACATCTCCTGGCTTAAATCAACACTGTACCAAATATTGACTCAGGTCACCAGACTCCCGAAAACACAATTTCCACAACATGGGTCCCAACAATGTTACAACTAGGGCTGTACCGAATAGTAATTTTTACTATTCGGCAGAATACAAATAGTGCGACCAACTATTTGGCAAAATACGAATACGAATAGTATATCATCATCATCAGGTGCCTTGCTGACTGGCGTAGGCGATTATGCCCCGCCACAATCTGTGATCTGCTGCAGCATGTATTAGTTCGTGTGCTGACACACCTCCATGCCATGCAAAAAGACTGTCAAGAATCTTCTGTCGTTGTCTTCCTCTATCCCTCCTTCCACAGATCTTTCCAGTGGTCACCACTCCCACCTCTTTCAAAACCATTGTTGGCTCTGCCGTTCAATGTAATTTAAACTAGGGCTGTACCGAATAGTGATTTTGTATAACTGGACCAATTATTCTGCCAAATAAAAATAGTGTATAGTGCATAAAATATATCTATTTTAAAAAATTCACAATGTCAAATGTACGCTGAACTTTTACTTCACATAAAGTAGCACAGAATAGTCATCTTCTTATTTAGCATTCTGAGCCCTTGAGGTTTACTGCTGCAGATATCACTCGTCTCCATTCATCTCTCTGGCTGGCCTTCTCTTCACAATTTGTGACACCAGTTGTTTGCAGGTCTGCTGGACATTATCTCTCGAACTTCTTTTTTGTCTGCCTCATGGTCTACGCCCATTCTTCTCTTAGTGTGACGTGCTGTAAAGGCTGCGTGGTGATGTGCGGCGTACCAAAGAGGAATAACGGTGTTGCAATGTAACAAATGGCATCAGTACTTAATATGCCACTGGCTAAGTGTAACACAACATGATGAATGTTGAAGCTTCCAAACGTAGTGGAACGAGAACTCTTTTAAAGGTTCCAGTTGTGTATTGACAATAGCAATGATCAACACAAGGAGAAAATATGCAATTAATAATCCAGACTCATTCAAGCACATCAGCAAAAACCCTCTCGTACATCCATAGACTGATATGTCCTCACGATAGGTCGCAGTCCGACCTTGAGATCCAGACAGTCATCTTTGTCTTCGGTTCCGCAGTCTGAATTAAGTAATGAAAGTATACCGGCTACTGCCGAACTGTGACAATATACCAGCTTTCTGCTGAGGTCCACAGTGGAGTCCTGGGGTAAAACGTCCTCAAGGATCCATTGTATACAACGTCTGCTTCCGTGGAATCCCAGGGTAAAGCATCCTCAAGGATCCACGCGTCCGTCTCCTTCAGACTGTAAACATCAACTGCCTTTGACAACAATACCTTCACAACGTTACGTATTGTTTTGACGTCCTATTTGCTCACTCAGTACTGGTGCGTTCTAGTGCACATCCGCACGCGACAGCTTTTTGGGTGGCAGACAAAGAACACTGCAATGTTAGCGATGAAAAATCGCCGAAATAACGACCAGTACAACGCCAAGAAGCAGATCGATGTACAACTAAAATGACGACTTGATCCGATTCAATCCAACGGAGAGTGGCACAGACAGTAACGGTGACTTGATTATGATAAAGATCCAACGAAGAGTGATACGGTCCCGATGAAGATCCAACGAAGAGTGGCACAGAGATCCAACGAAGAGTGATAAAGTTCAGATGAAGATCCACGATGGCTAGAACAGACTGGCGGCGGCGACTTGATACATTGGACGATATCCACAGCTAGAGATGTGTAAAGATTGTGACAACTGGAATATGCTTCGTGTACAACTTGAGGCAAAACCAATATGACAAAATGTCGTATTACTCTTGTGACGAGAGGTCCCTCATTCTTTAAAGGCAGGCTCCCATTGTGACGAGCGAAGCTTGGCGTACAGTGTGACGTGCTGTAAAGGCTGCGTGGTGATGTGCGGCATACCAAAGAGGAATAACGGTGTTGCAATGTAACGAATGGCATCAATACTTAATATGCCACTGGCCAAGTGTAACACAACATGATGAATGTTGAAGCTTCCAAACGTAGTGGAACGAGAACTCTTTTAAAGGTTCCATTTGTGTATTGACAATAGCAATGATCAACACAAGGAGAAAATATGCAATTAATAATCCAGACTCATTCAAGCACATCAACAAAAGCCCGCTCGTACATCCATGGACTGATATGTCCTCACGATAGGTCGCAGTCCGACCTTGAGATCCAGACAGTCATCTTTGTCTTCGGTTCCGCAGTCTGAATTAAGTAATGAAAGTATACCGGCTACTGCCGAACTGTGACAATATACCAGCTTTCTGCTGAGGTCCACAGTGGAGTCCCGGGGTAAAACGTCCTCAAGGATCCATTGTATACAACGTCTGCTTCCGTGGAATCCCAGGGTAAAGCATCCTCAAGGATCCACGCGTCCGTCTCCTTCAGACTGTAAACATCAACTGCCTTTG